AAAGTTACTATACAGGCTTGACTAGGACAACGCCATGCTCTGTGTCTCTGACCCTGATTCCTTCAAGAATTTATCCTGGCCCAGTTAAAAAGCAGGCTTTCCTGTCCTGGGCGGTGCCAGGACCAGTTAATGAACTTCTCCTAATCCTCCGTGATTATGCTCCTGTCCTCCACAGTGAACTTATAGGTCAGGAGAGAAAGAAACTAGTCTTTTGGCCACTGCCAGTTCTTGATCCTAGTCTGAGCCCAATTCTTTCGATCTCGCCTCACTTTTCTCATATTTTAAACCCTGCAATTCCTACACAAATCACCGAGCTAATTATACTTGTTAGACTTGGGAATGATAGAGCAGACAACATTAAGACCAAGTATTTGAAGACCGATTGAGGATTAGGAGTCCAAGTTAAGAGTTGTTTTCACGTTTAAGTACACGTTATTCTGGTTCGTTCTAAACCCACAACCCATAAATACCATCAAGAGTGAACAGAACTACTGCCCTGACCATCCCACTCCACTCCCCATGCCTCTCTGCGAGCTGCCCATCGACTGGGGCTGGCAGTGTCTTCATGTGACACAGACTGCTGACCACGTGTCATAGGCAGTAGCAATAAATGCCACTGAAGCTGCCACGTTAGAAGCCTCTGCCAAGCAAAGCACAGATAGGAACAGAAAGTATCTTAGAACCTTGAGGATTGTTAAGCAAAATAAGCCGGTCACAAAAAACAGCAAATACTGTATGATTCCACTCATATAAAGTATGTAAAGCAAAGTTATAGAGACAGAAAGTAGAACGGGAGTTAGAAGGACTAGGGGAGCAGAGATGGGGAACTAGTGTTGGGTGGGTACAGAGTTTCAGTGTTACAATATGAAAAAGTACTAGCGCTCTGTTGCACTACAATGTGAATGTACTTAACACTACTGGAGTGCAAACTAAAGCGGTTAAGATGGTAAACTTAACATCCTATGGTTTTTTAGCACATTTTTTTAAAAAAAAAAAAAGAGGAATAGTACGGCTGGTGTGGCTCAGCAGTTGAGCATCAACCTAGGACCCAGGAGATCATGGTTCTATTTCCAGTCAGGGCACATGCCTGGGCTGCAGGCTCGATCCCCAGTAGGGGGCGTGCAGGAGGCAGCTGATCAATGACTCTCATCACTGATGTTTCTTTCTCTCTCTCCTCGCCCTTCCTCCCCCTGAAGTCAATAAAGATATA